ATCTTTCTCTGTCTCTCCTCCTCTCTGTATATCTGACTTTCCAATAAATAAATAAATCTTAAAAAAAAAAAGATTAAATCCGATTTGGGGAGGCTCGTTCATCAGTAGTTTAATTTTGTTCTGATTTTTCTGAGCATCTGAATAAGAAACCTTCTGGGTCTTAGCGTAGGTAATGCTTTTAGGTAGGAACTGATTGTTCAGGCTTCTAAGAGAAAAAGTGACCTGAAAAGAAAGGACTCAGAAAAACTCAAAACCTCCACCATCCTCCGATCTTTGGCCAAGCCGTATTCCCAGCAATGCACTAGCACGTTCATACTACACTCCTTAAAGCAGACTATTGGCAGAAGGGAGGAAATCATGTAGTACACTCACTCAGACATCATGCCATTTTATGCCAGGCTCACCATCAACAGATCAACAAGAAGTATAAGCACAATCATCAAAGAACTAAGTCCTACTCAGAAGTGTATATTGCTAGTCTCCCCACCTCGCTCATTACAACATGATCCTACTGTTCATCACTAAAGCCTTCAGAGTCGCACCTCTAGCCATTGTTAAGATGTCAGAGCACACTGGCCTTGGGCAGGCATGGACCCGGACAATGGAGCAAGTGTGCTGTTCAGACAATTGCACTGCGCGGGCTGCAGCAGTGGCTAAGTCACCTCGTCTTGCCTGATGGCACCACAGAAAGACTGCTGCCGGCTGTCCCATCTAGGCGTCCACATGCTGATGTGCACAGTACCCTCTCTGGACAAACAAGAACTTCCCCGCACCTAAGAAGTGTGTCATCTCCTTTCTCACCAGTGGGTTTTCAAGGCCCACTCTGTGAACAGCGAGTGCGTTCTGAGCACACTGCCATTCCCTAATGCCATGGCTCAAGGCCAAAGGCAGGCAAGCATGGAGCAGATGGAGTCCTGGCAAGGTCTCTGCTGTCCCTGCATTAGCAGCATCTGCTCATTACTCAGAACCTTCGCCTGCTTTATCTAATGCTCCAGGAAAAGCATTTTGATTTGATTCATTTCAGTACGGTAACGTGCAACACAATTAGTGGTAAAATCAAACTGGAGGATGGCCAGTGCTGACAATCGGAAACAAGGCAGAAGAAATATGAGGCCAGTGGGTTGGAATTCAAAAAAATCACAACTGTGGCTCACCTTGCCAAATCCTACCACCCCAGGTGCACGTTCAGCACCCCTATGGGGCACAGAGGCGACAAAGGACATGGGGATAACACACTTTCTACCCCAACAGTCTCCATCTTGCCCTCTGGATAGAAGCTGCCCAGGAGAAGATGCCATGAACTATGGCAGGAGGTGGGGTGTGTATGTGTGCAGATCAGTGGCTACAGAGCTTCTCTGGCGCAATCAGAGAGCTGAAGTTCACTAACTCATTTCATTTATCATCTTTTCTTCTTTTCTATGGGACACAATCATAAATTTTGCACAACAGACTCCACGTGATAAATTTTGTTTTTGTCTAAGAAATGCCAGTTAGCTAATCCTGGAGAGAAGCCAAATAAAAACGTGCATTTAGTTACTGGAATTTGTCTCTGCCCCAAAGTAAATATTCATGAGTAATACAGTGATGCGAGCATTACGGTGACTGTGTTCAAGTGAAGGGAGACTGAAAACACTGCCTAATCTAGGGCAAGAGTAACCGCTCACACCATGCCGGGCCAGCCAGCTCCGTCTGCAGAGGATCAAGCACACAGGAGGTTTTTAGAAAAGAAATCAGCCTTGATACCAAAATGAACTAGACATCAAGCAAAAGTTTCCATACAAAGGCTCCTATGTCCTTGACCCAATCTCAGAGCATGACACAAGATCCCAAAGAATGACACCGGTAAGCTTAACACTATGAAATGGCGCTATTGAATGATCTCTTGCAACAGAGCATAAAATCCAAGAACAGAAGCAAATACAAAAAAAAAGAAAAAAAAACTTATAAGGACAGCACTACATGCCAGTGACAAATAGATGGGCTTTCTGTTAAGAGACACGGGGAAAAAAAATAGATACGGTTGGATACAACTTTCATATCAACTCAGGATGAACTCTAAATATTTTGGTCTGTCACTAAGGAAATAACTGGAACAATGACAGAAGAGAAAGAAAGATGTGGAAGCAGTAGGCATACACATGAAAAAACCAACCGCTTTCACACTAACAAAAGTGTACACTCTTTCAGTATATGCACATACTACTTTCTCTCCAACTGAAAACACTGAGCAGTTCCAAACCTACTTTGCTGGTGAAACCGTGAGGAAATGGACAGGCCCTGATACCTCGGGTGTAAGAGTGTCCGACACTAACTCCACTTGCACTTACCCTTTCACCTGGCAATCTTCGTGCCGTCCTCAAAGCATCACGCTTACTACATCAAGGGAGATGTCCAAGACACAGAGCTCACACTGAATAGAATGCTGTGCGGTTCCAGAGCTGAAAACAGGCTCTTGATGTTGACACTCTTTTTCAAGATATGATACTAAGACACAAGGGCCATGATACAAAATGTTGTAACCTTTAACAGAGAAAGGGAGGGTCTAGTGCAATGGCTCAAGCACTAAATCCTCACCTTGTTACGTGCTGGGATCCCATATGCATGTCAGTTCTGGCAGCTCTGCTTCCTTCCCATCCAGCTCCCTGCTTATGGCCTGGAAAAGGAGTCAAGGATGACCCAAAGCCTTAGGACTCTGCACCTGCATGGGAGACCTGGAAGAAGCTCCTGGCTTCTGGTTTCGGATCAGCTCAGCAACAGCTGCTGTGGTCATTTAAGGAGTGAACCAGCAGACAGAAGATCTTTCTCTCTCTCCTGTCTCTCTAAATCAGCACTTCCAATAAAAACCTTTCAAAAATATAAATCTTTTTTTTTGAAGATTTTATTTTTTATTGGAAAGGCAGATGTACAGAGAGGAGGAGAGACAGAGAAAGATCTTCTGTCCAATGATTCACTCCCCAAGTGACTGCATCAGCCAGTACTGCGCCGATCCAGAGCCAGGAGCCAGGATGCTCCTTTCGGGTCTCTCACGCAGGTGCAGGGTCAGAATGCTCTGGGCCATCCTCAACTGCTTTCCCAGGCCACAAACAGGGAGCTGGATGAGAAGTGGAGCCACTGGGATTAGCACCAGCACCTATATGGGATCACAGCACGCTCAAGGCGAGAACCTTAACCACTACACCATCACGCCAGGCCCCCAAAATATAAATCTTAATTCATAAGAAGTAGTATTAAAAGAAAAAAATTTTCAAATGGAAAAGGGGGAACGAGAGGAATAAAACTGATATCTCTATTTGCTTGAACTGCTAATAACAAATATTGGAACGACATAAAAGAAAGCAAACATATAGGTACTATAGAATTGAGTGGACAGGGGCCCGGTGCCCTGGCCTAGTGGCTAAAGTCTGCTTTGAGCCTGCTGGGATCCAATATAAGCGCTGGTTCTAATCCCAGCAACACGCTTTTCATCCAGCTCCCTGCTTGTGGCCAGGGGAAGCAGTCGAAGATGGCCCAAAGCCTTGGGATCCTGCACCCGCGTGGGAGACCAGGAGGAGCTTCTGGCTACTGGCTTCAGATTGGCTCAGCACTGGCCATTGCGGTCACTTGGGGAATGAATCATTGGATGGAAGATCTTCCTCCCTGTCTCTCCTCCTGTCTGTATATCTGACTTTCCAATAAAAATAAATAAATCTTAAAAAAAAAAAAAAAAAAGAACAGAGTGGACAGGTAGTGCTGCAGGTGAAGTCACCATCTGTGACACCAGCATCCCATGTAAGTGCCAGTTCATGCCCCAGATGTTCCACTTCCAATCCAGCTCCCTGCTAACGGACTGGGAAAAGCAGGGAAAGATGGTCCAAGGGCAGGGGCCTCTGCCTCCCATGTGGAAGACCCCAGTGAAGCACTTGGCTTCTCGCTTCAGCTGCTGAGCCCTGTCTGTCAGCAGCCACTTGGGGAATCAATCAGCAGAGGGAAGATCTGTCTCTCCTCTAATTCGACTTTCAAATAAATAAATCTTTAAACAGATTGAACAAAAATGAGTGGAAATACAACTTTAATATATGACTGTTCATACTATTCTAATGTATGAACTCTAAAAATGCATTGCTTCACCAAAAATGCATTACAAAATAAACACATCTGTGGATTAAAAAATTAAAATCTCCCTTACGTACACACATTCCCCTACATCCTAGAAAAATAAACCATAAGCAAAGTTCATTCAGCTCACTGGGAATAACAAAGCGAAGACATCTGAAATATATCTCACAAGGCTATTTCCTTTCTTTTCAACCAGAAAACTGGAACAGATGAGAACAAGCAACTTGTGGAGAACTAAATAGAAACAACTGGAAACACAATGGGGAGAAGACCATATAACACAAGGCCCCATCTGAGACCATTCTTTTCAAACTGTGCGCTTCCACACCCTAAGAATTCTACGGGGCCAGGGAGATAACACACTACCAACAATGCTCCCGGTCGGAACACTTGTGCCAGGGGAAGGTGGGCACTGGCTTTTTACCTTCTGTCTTTCTGTTCACAGATTCTCTCTCTCCCCTTTTCACTGTTCCCTCTTGGACTGAGCAGAGCCTCAAGGAAAAGCCAAGTATATTTAATATTTTACACCAAACAAGTTATTTGCTTAAGATGACTTGGCCAGCCTTCTGTCTGGCGCCAACACCCACAATGACAGTTCCAGCAGGAATTAAACCCCAATTTTAATGGATGCCGTGTTCCGGTGCCTAATAATGTACTGAAGGTGACTGGCCAACTTCTTCACATAAAGGCACATACATCAGAGAGAGAGAGAGAGAGAGAGACAGAGTGTGTGTGTGTGTGTGTGTGTGTGTGTGTGTGTGTGTGTGTGTGTGTGTGTTACGGAGAGCGAGTACTTGTGTGTGCCCATGTGATTGTGTGGAAGGATTACGGGGGAGCTGGCCACAGCTGCTTAATTTTTGTAAAGCTTTTTTTTTCTTAATAGGCAGGAGGTTGCAGTTACTCACCATCCTCATAAGCCGCTACCGCCAGCGAGCTGTTTATCCTCACAAAGGAGACATATGGCTGCATTCCAGGCTCGTCCTCCTCATACTCTGATTCCAGGAAGGGGGCCAGGTAGTCCCAGGTGCGGGTGTCCCACACCCTAACATCCCCTGATGTGTATCTGGAAGAGAAGGACACACTTGGTTCCAAGAGGGGATTGAAAAGAACATGGGGAGAGCCTAAAACACAACAGAGGAACAAGATTTGGTGGGCCTGGGCCGACTCCTGCGGCACTGAGTGGATGAGCAACCCCCGCTGGAAGAAATGTCAACGAGATGACAGAAAGCTGGGAACACGCTTCCCATGCTCACAGCACAATGGTGACAGTGTTGAATGAGAAACTATAACAACAAATCCGGCAGCAAGATCTCTTTGTTTTTCCTTTTACACTTTTATAACCAATCTGCTGCCTTAAGTTCTCCCATCACAAGATTCACAGGCAGAAATCTCCACGAGGCACAGTATTTATATTCACACAGACCAAAGGACAGGTGCTGCTGCACACACTAAGCAGCAACAGTCTTACCAGCACAACCTTTCTAACGTCACATCCATGTATCTGACTAAAGTTCCTAAAGACTAACCGATCTGCTGAAATTATTAAGTTTTGCCTTCAGCAGAAAATGCTGCCTTCTCACAAAAAGTTATTGCCAAAAGCAGGACCCTCCCCAGTTCTGCCCAAACAGAAAACAGAAGCACCCACTAGCTGCTATCACAGCAGCAATTCTAACAAACGATGCCCTGAAGCCCAGGCAGGCTCAGAACTGCTCTGAACGCTGGCCCCCCAGGTGGAGAGAGGACCTGATGACTAGCTGGGGTGCTGCCCACTGTGAGGTGTGTAAGCTCTTTATGCTACTGCAGAGGCCTTGTTCTCACAAACACCTAAGGGGAAGTCAGGAAAGAAATGTCCCTAAGACCACAGGATGCAGCCACACAAGCACCAGGAGTGGCAGATGTAGCCTTACTACAGCCCCGACCACAGCTCCTCCCTAGCTTCTTTGCATAGTCAGACAACATAACCCCTGAGATCTATCTCATCTACGACAAGACACATCTACAGAGCTTCTACAGATGACTCTCAGGTGAGGTTTCTTAATGAAGAAGTCAAGAAATGCTTCATTTGCTAAAGGTAATTGCATTTTCTCCCATGTACTCTTATGTACAATAAACACACGTTACTTAGTAACACACAAGTCACTCTGTGGTCACCCCAATTCCCCAGGTTGGAACACTTGGCTCCACACCTGCAGTGCAGAACTGAAAGAATGTGCAGGCGGTATACAGAGCCACAACAGGACATGTGCTTTCCAAAGCTGATCACTGAAGCTGGGTGAGTCTGTCGCCCTGCAGACAGAACCCAGTAACATGCAGGCAGGGAGACACTGACATCGCCTTGGCCGAAGCACGGCCAGCGACTCCCAGGCCACGGGCAGCAGTCTGATCATCTTTCTGAAGGCAGTGCACCCCTACCCCACAGGGCCACTGTCTGGAGTAAGGGCGCTGGCTCAGCATTAGAGGCACTTGATATTCTAGAGTATCTGCTACTAGATTTGGAAGCTCTCTGTGAAGGAACTAGCCAACTCCAAGACAGAAAGACGACAGTGTCATTCAGAAACAGAGGAGCAAGGTGAAGAAGTGGAGCACAAGCTGAAATCTGCAGATTGTCCTGGAGAACCATACTGTTAATATTCAAGAGCCTTTACTTTCAAATGAAGTTGTCCCTCTCATACACGAGTCCAGCATTAAAAAGCTGCAGCAACAGGCCTGGTTGATTGTTCCTCGGTCACTGTGTAAAGCCAGAAGGGTTCCTCCAAAGTCTCCCAGCCCATCCCCAACACTCTACAGCTACTTTGGTCTAACCCCCTGAACAAACAGGCCAGTCTGGTGCAAACCCTCAGCTTCTTTCAACCCCACTTTCTTCTGTCTGCTTCGGAGAGTCCCCTTCCATTCAACCGTGCACACAGACATCCCTCAAAAACACTTGCCCACATTAACCACTCTGGAAACACTCCATTGGTCTCACCCCTCCACAACAGACCATGTGCCCCTGCTCTCACCTCGCCTGCTAGGAACCTAAACATCTCCCTCTTGGCAACTGACTCTGTAGCTATCCAATGCCGCTCTCCCTACTTGTCAGGGAGCTTTAGCCAGATGTCAGTCTGGCTCCCAGCTGTGTATCCAGTGACCAGAATGGTCAGACTGAACTGGTCCCTGCTAGCACCCAACAGACTGAAGTCTCTATCACGGGGCCAATTACTTCCCTTCTGGAAGCCAGCTTGCCCTGCCCTCCCCTCCCCTGTATCCTCATGCTACCATCTTCACCTGAGCCAGCTCCAGACACTGCTGCCTCCACCCTCAGCTCCATCAAGCATCTTCCTGGAGCACCTTGTTCCTCTCCTGGTGGCGGGGTTCAACCCTGGCTGCATATCAGAGTCACATGGAATGCTTCAAAATCCCGACTGCACAAGCACAAGTCCAATGCAGTCTGACCACATGTGGGTGGGAGCAGGCTTCAGTGCTCTCCATCTGCACCCAAAGTGAGAACCAGTATTCCAGCCCAATCCCACTAACCACCTAGGTTTGGCCCAGGTCTCCTCTCCTCTACAAAGCCACCTTTGTCTGAATGAACTACTTGCCCTTGACATAAAGAAAGAGTATTCACGGCTACATTCCTGATGTGTGCATCCTACCTCCTGAACTTAACTGCGAAATCCTCAACAAGGCTTTCAAAATCCCTTTCTCACAGCTGAAAATAAATGACTAGTCAGTGAGCAGGGTGTTCCTCAGTTAACAACCTGAATTGTAGCAACATTCCTCTTATGATTTAAACTGCCCACCTTTCAGTACTAATGAGTGAATCAAGAATACAGACAGTGATATGCAGTAGACTTCCAGCAATCTATTTTCAAATGAACTGAAATGCAGCTCTGGGGCAGGCATTGTGGCACAGCAGTTAAGCTGCCCCTTGGGACATCCACATTCATACTGCAGTGCCTGGTTTGAGTCCCAGCTTCTCCACTTTGATCTAGCTTCCTGCTGCTGACAAGCAGCAGATGGTGGCCAGAGCCTTTGGGCTCCTGTCACCTATATGGAAGACCCAGATGGTATTCTAGGCTCCCAGGCTCAGCCTAGCCCAGACCCAGTGACTGCATACCTTTGGGGAGTGAAATTCCAAGTGGAGTATTTCTCTCTCCCCCCTCCTTCTACTTTCCCTCTTTACGTCTCAAAAAGACATATTTATTCTACAGAACCCAAGGGGCATGTATTCAGCCTGGTAGTTAAGATGCCCATGTCCCATACACAGAGTGCCTAGCCTCAATGTCCACCTCCAACTTCTGACTTCAGTTTCCTTCTAAAGATGACCATGGGAAGCAGTAATAGTTCAAGTGACTGAGTTCTTCCCACTCACGTGGACACCTGGATTGTGTTCCTAGCTATTGATTATGGCCTGGACCTCAATTTGGCCCAGGACCAGCCCTAGCACTGTGGACACTGGGGTAGTGAACGAGTGGGTAGGCTGGATCTCCTTCCCTCTGACTCAAACAAATAATTTGAAAACAGGGTCAGTGCGATCGCTCAACTGGCTAATTCTCAGCCTATAAATGCTGCAATCTCATATGGGCACCAGTTCGTGCCCCAGCTGTTGCACTTCCAATCCAGTTCCTGGTCTATGACCTGGAAAAGCCATGGAGAATGGCCCAAGTTCTTGGGATCTTGTATCCATTTGGGAGACTCAGAAGAGGCTCCTGGGTTCAGAATGGCTCAGTTCCAGCCATTGCAGCCATTTAGGAAGTGAACCAGCAAATGGAAGATCTTTCTGTCCCTCCTTCTCTTTGTAAATATGCCTTTGCAATAAAATACATAAATCTTCAAAAAAAATTTTAAAACACAAGATAAGCTCAATCAGTTTTTCATAGATGCCTAGAGAAACTGACTCCACTCTTCAGGACCAATGAGCATGATAAGCACAGAAATCCTGTGCTGCAAAATGACTCAAAGAGATAAAATATGAGACTCCACATCTTCTTTATTGATAACAGAGACTACGTGCCCAATTTCAGCAGGTACTGTGATGGCTCAGCAGTGAATGCCGACATCCATCCGCGGGTGAAAGCACTACAGCATTGGGAGTTAGATTCAGTGCTAATGAACTTAGCTATGAAACAGATGTTTCCATGAGGGTAAGACATTGGTTGAAGCAGAGTGTACTGGACTACACCCTAAATGTGATCTAAAAACGCTTAGCAACACTGGCCAGGAGTGGCACGAAGAGACATCAGATGGAGGTGGAAGTGGCTGAGTGTTCTCCAAAGCTCCAGATGTCTTTATCACTGCCTAATGACAATTACACTCAACCAATTAAGACACCACTACGATCGCTCCATTGTCAGAAGACCTTTGGATCCCAATGTTGATGGCTCTCTAATTAGTGTCTGTGCAAAGCACAACTGCAACTAATGTGTTAGCTGGTGTAAGAACACTTCAGAAGAACTGGGAAAGAAAGAATCCTTTTCCAAAAAAGGAAGGATATGCCCCAGGTGCGGCCTGGGCCAGAGAAAGGGTATTGCTTTCCCAAGCTTTCTCATGCTTGGCAAAGTTGAGTTTACCTTAAATAAATAGGTCAGAGACCACAGCTGATGTTTTGTTCAAAGAATGGGAACAGAGCCTTTCAAGCTCTGCACACTAGAGCAGCTGCCAATTTAAAATGATTTACCACGAAGAACTCTCATTAACTAGTGAGTTTCCAACAAGCAGACTCCTTATTTGGACCAAAAGGCTGGAAGAAATACTCCACAGCTAAAAATCACCTTTAACCTTGCTTCTTTATAAATATCCAGCAAGGGATCCTTCTTGCTACCAGGCTGCCAGCATTTCTTGCTAAAAACAAATTTTTTTCAAGACATCATAACAACTGTGGGATGATAGGGGGTTTTGACTTAAGAGGAATGCTGAGAAATAAGGCTAGTGACTCACCTACGGTCACAAGCTGGGACCCAACATTAGAGATACAGCTAGGACCACAAGGCACTTGAGTTTTTCTCAACCTGCTGTTGAGCCAACAAGCCTTTCTTCTTCCTCAGATGACAGGGTCTTGAAACAAACACTGTTTTTAAAGAGCTA